CCCCAAAACCCCAAAACCCCAAAACCCCAGAATACTTAATAAGGAGCAATATCTCGATTATTAAAATAAAGAATTTATGCTAAAATCATATAACAGAAGATTACTCAACAATAGCATCTCTAAGCATTTTATTAATTTATCTTATGTCTGAATCACTTTTACCAAATATCTACACTAAATCATCATACAGATTATTCATCATATCAGTAACTTGGTCAATAGCATTTCTATTAAAATTATCAACCACTAATAAATCACTAAGGATGTTTATTTGGCTTTCAATTTTCTATAATTAAGAAGATGAAGCTTTGGATAATGCTAGTTTACTACCCTCTACTGTATTGACCAAACTTTCAAGTTTAAGATAAAATTTCTCATGAATACTGATAAGATTTTTCTAGATAATGCCATAATCTATACTTCTACTATAATCCTCCCTCTATCCTTTCTTCATCTGATTAGTGGATTGATTAATTATCAGAGTCATATTGATATTAATCAGCTGATCTTTGATCTCAGCCAGAATCTGATCTAGTTCTTAGAACTGCTATTTGAAGGTCTAGAATTAACCTGAGTTGCAAGCTTCTTCCACAATAATATGCAGCTCATTTTGAACCAAATCAATATGCTTTATAAGATTGCTTATCTCATTTTTGTCTTGCTTAAGTTGAGATCCTAGTATTTAATCAGCTCTGATCATGATCATATGAACCTACTCATCCACATCATTTACCTTTGCCTAGATCTTACCAAACTAGTATTAAGTCATGCTGTTTTCTTAGATCTTAATAAATGAGTTATTGTTATTGATCTTAAATGACTCCTATGCAGGTGCTTAGTTATTGTTTTCAATTAGTTTCATAATTTCAGATATTTCACTCTTAAGCATAGATTTTTTTATGGTTGCTTCATCATTATGATCTTGGGTATTCTAGGTTATTAGAATAGTTGGCTACTCAAATCTTTAGAAATAGTTCTGCTGATCCTATATTTGCATATCTCTTGCAAATGAATGCTCTGAGACTACAGGTTATTCTCTCATAATACAAGTCAAATCAATAGTCTTCTTAGCTGGTGACGGTAATTTTTGAAGTGGCTCCTCTGGCTTTTCTTCGACAGGCTCAAATTTATGCAGTATTTTAGGCTATGTTTTAACAGGTGTTTGCTTGTTTTAAATTTCTTTCTTTGTCTTCTCCCATTTCTTTCGATTATTTACAATGCTTTATTATAGCTGAGTTTATTTAATTTCTTAACATTGCTTTTACTTTTCGAACTCTTCAATAAGTTTATGACACTCAATATAGTTTAATTAGTTGGTCTTCTACTTTTTTTATTTGATAAGTGGGACTCTTATGTTATGGAGTTTTTATATAAATTTATCGCATTTTAAGTGGCATTCTTCATCAACTTCATCAGTTTTAATATAAAGGAGATTAATCTTTGAATTTCCATTTAAAATCGAATCTAGCTCTTTAAATATTTTTGAATTCTTGTTTAGTTGAGGATTTTTAACATTGTTTCCTCCAATAATATTGCTGTGGTAAGACATCTGTTTCATTATGTAGTGCAGATAATTATTAGAAGCATTTATTTCATTTCTCTCAAAGTAAACTTGCTTATCTTTCAACGGAAGGCCAGCCATGTCGACAATAGATAATGTTTAAACTCTTCCATCTTGGTGGATATGAATTTTGATGAAGAGATGTGACTGATTGGATTAAGGATTTCCATTTTCATCGAAATTCATCGAATTTCTTTGAATATGCTGAATAGCATATTCAAACTGCTCAATATTCTGTACTCTAATCCTTGTTGCTGGAGTTTTATTCTTCAAAGATTAGTCTAATTAAGGAGGGATAATGAGATTTGACTTTTTCTCAACATTAGACTGCTTGTTGAAAGTTATTTCAAATGCAGAGATTATGATTTGCTTTTTATTTTCCTTATCATCAGATGTGAATAAATCCTCAGCAAATTTTGATAAGATATATTAATATAGCAGCCAGGATTTACCACTACCTATAAATTTTAGTCATAAATTTGCTTTAATTACCAATAAGCCCATATGTTATAAGAGAGGTGTTATAATTTAAGAATATGAATTTATTCAAATGGTCTTTAATCTACTAAGCTAAAATTTCATCTGTTAATTCGACCCTAAATAATATGTAAATTATTGATTTGTATTACATTTGTCTCTTCTAGTTTAGCAAATATTCTGATTGATTTTGTCGATGCAGTTAAATAATGCTAATCCTTTCTAGTCTAGTCTTAATTCCACCTCCTACAAAATTAAAATGATTTAATCTCACCCAGGTCTTCAAGCTCCTTGCAAAGTTAAAGAATTTCAAGATTAGAATCAATCTAATCATCAGTCTCTCCCTTCAAATGCTTTCTATCTGATTGAGATCTTGATCGATTTTGTTATGCTATTTTTGACATACTAATTTAAACAGTTCTTCCACGACTTTTGCTTCTTGTAGAATCGATAATTTTGCTCATTTTAATTTCAAATTTCAAATTAATTTTTAAATTAAGAACTTTATTCATTGTAAGGGGTTTTGGGGTTTTGGGGTTTTGGGG